TGAGGAACGTCCGACTCGGGCTGTTTGTTCTAATCGCCCTGATGACCACATTGGCATCACCCAGGATTCTCTTCATATTCTTCCCAAAGTCCCCCGTTTTCGGGGGTTACAAACACAAGTATTCTGGCCCATCCCGGTTCAATCATGCCAGGGATGTTGCGGAATATGGGCCCGGTCGACCGCCCACGACGTTGGCGGAGGAACTCGGCTACTCCAGTCCCGGTTATTACGGCATCAGAAACATGCTCTTGTACAAGTTCTACAAAAGATGAGCCCTCATTCACAGGTTTGAACAACTTTCATTGAAAAATGAAACATTGGAGTAGAAAAGACATGAAGAAAAAGGTTACTATAGTTGAACTTTTCCAAGTCGAATTTCAAGGGACTACAAAAAAAATTTCACCAAAGGAGGTTTTAACTTGGGTAGGTTTCCATTTAGCCCTTGGGCAGCAGTGCCAGGATTTACAGTGAGACCCCGAGATGCAGACTCAATTGGTGCATCACGAGTGTCCCTAATCCAAAATGTCTGTAAGTTGAGTCTCAATTTCCCTCAGACTTACATTTTATAATTTTTAATTGGTGTTTTATCTAAAAAATACTCATCAGAATTCCATGAAAATAAAAATTGTCTCTCAATTTAAACTGATTCCAATTAATATATTTTAACACAATATGGGCATTTGGGGAATTGAATACCTCTGTAGAGTACATAGAAATGTTGGCTTTAAAAATAATATTCAAGTGAAAAATAGAGAAGGAAGTTCCTTTCTGCTGTAGGTAATTTTTAAAATTAGCTAAATGGATGGTAAATTGGTGAGAGAAATGCCCACAAACTTTTCTTACATCAATTTTAGGGCTGGAAATATCTGCTTTTTGTAACTTGGCCTGAAATGTATTTGCAATTTTATAATAAAATGTCCCTATGTTGAGTCAGTGTCCTCATGTCAGGCCTTTTTTATTAATTTTTTATGAGAAAATAAGTGTCCCTACGTCAAATTATCTGCAGGTCAAGGTGTCTGCATGTGGGGGTCTCACTGTGTCTGCAAAATTTTGTGCCGCAAGGGGTAGAAAAAAAGGGGGGAACAAAAGTAATTAGAAGAGCCAAAGTCAGGAAAAAACCCAATTTTGTATAACATTCCTGCAGAAAAATTTGCAAAAAAAAGAAGAAAAAAGGTAATGTTGGTTGGCATTTTTTCTGCATTTCTGCTGTAGAGTTAGCATTGGGGGATTATCAGGACAATGACTTTTGGGGGGGGGGGGGTTTCCTGACTTTGGCTACTCAGCCAAAGCTGCATTTGGGTGACCCTCAGTCAAACCAAAATGTAGGAGCTTGCAAAAAATCCAGGCACTGCTGCTCAATGCAAAACAACCCTCTGCCACCCAGGGGTTATGCCGGATAGGGAAAGCCATATCATTAGGCATAAATATAATTTGAATTAATTCCCTTCTGAAAATACTCTTTTACAAGGTTTTCGAAAGATGAAACTTAAAACTCAAAAAAAAAATTTTCACGACAAAACAGAGCGGACCAGAAAAAAAGAACTACTTTTCAAACATCAGCGTTGAAAAACATTGTCAAGTGAAAACCAGACTTCAGCCATTAATAAATGATGCATTCAATTGAAAAAAAAACGTTTACAATTTACACTCCTGAGTCCTTCAAACGTGGCCTAGATTTATTTTTACTGGTATTAAAACAACAATGCTCTTTTGAAATGATTCTTCTTCTCATGAAAACTGAATCATAATAAAAAATTAAAAATCGTGAAAATGTTCAATGACAAACAGTAAATAATTGTCTGAATTTAGGCACCGCCTTATTTGCATAATTGAAATAAGGCAGTGCCTTATTGTTTAAAAAAAAATATTGAATGATGAAAATACAGATTTTTCCTCATTTTTCCGCAGATTAAATTCGGCAGGAGACGTTTTCAACCCGGGGCATCGGTCACCATCATTCGCGCATTTTAGCACATGCTAAAAAGACCAACAGAAAATTATGACTACATTTTTCCTGCCAAACCTTTCTGCAAACCAGCAACAAGCTTTGAAGAAAAATCAGCCAAACGTATTTTCACACCCCAAGTTTTTTGGAAGAGCTTGAACCCGTTGGACCAGATGCCCCATTTGTGATCAAACGGCGTTCGTGGGAAAAAGAAGGCAGTCTTCTGGTGCAAATTAGAGAACTGCCTATTTTGTTGTACTGTTGCAGAGATGCCAACTCATTGTTGTTTTCATTTTGTGCAGAAATGATGTTACCAGTCAGGAGTTCAGCCATATTGTTTTGAAGAGTGCATTTGGCACAGCAAGGGAGTAGCTAAAATCTTCTGGTTTTCTTTGCAGCTAAATTAAAATGATTTAGCTTGAATTTGAGAGAAGAATAAATTTGGACAAAATTTAAAGTCTGCGCAATAGCACACTATGAATATTTCCTGGCCAATTTTCGACATTATAGTGCACATCGTAGTCAAATCCAAATAGTTAACAGTTTTAAAAGTTTAGAGCCTAAATGATGTTTGTGGAATAATAACTCCAGGCGAAAGTGAAAGTTGCATTCATTTGATTTGAATGCAGTTTTCTATATGAATACAAGAGCCATAAACTATCAAATAAAAACACAGAACGACGGTAAATGTTAAAAATGTACCTTTTATTTGAGCACAAATTATAAAACTGTCAGAGTTTCCTGTATAAAAATGCACTAAAAGCTGAAGCGTGCGTCTTATGTCTTTTATGCAAAATTTTGCCTATAAAATAAGGGAGTTTAGGAAAGCGTAAATATTTTTTTAGGATATATTTGAAAAGTTTTAAAGCGGTGCATTGTCAAATAAATCCTATTTGACTTATAAACTATAGTGTACCAAAGTTTCAGAAAAAAGGACTCACACGAAAAAATTTGAATTTCCCAATAAAGTTAATTTGAAACAATAACGATCTGGGAAAATTTTGTTCATAATTCGCATCGCATTCAATTTTTGGCAGTATTTAGGCTCCAATCAATAAATGGCAGATGAGTATAATTTTCCCAAAAGGTCTTTGGATATTTTTATTTTTTATTCATTTTTTTATATCACCCTAGAAAATAAAAAAAATGGAAAATTTCCTAAGAAAACTATTTAATGCAGTATTGCTTCATAAAATTGATTAATATTGCCACTCAACCAACATTAAGGCTCGTAAGATGAGAAGAACATGAATGACGACAAGTTTCTGACGCAATCTTCACATTTAGACAGTCTTACTTACGGAAAATTGAGAAACTATTCCCGACTCAACCAAGTTTCTTTTCAGATAACCGATGAAAGCATCCATCCATTTCGCGTTATTTTTCAACAGGTTTCTTTGAAAAATAATGTTTGAATTTTTGTTTTCAAATTCGCGCGGAAGTTAGGCGATAAAATGTTGACTTCGAAATGCATCAGCAGGGATGCAAACGTCTTCAAAAATTTTTCAAAATCGTCACAATAAAAGAAAACATTTCCGGAATTCAATCCACAAATGGGCAGAAACGAAAGAATAATCAGGAGTGAATCACGAGGAATGAAAAATGGACCTGTAAAAAACGATTATACGCAGTAAAAATAATTCAACGCAATCTCTTTAATAATACATTCGACAACGATTTTTTTTCTTTCTTCAAGCTGAGCACATTCCCAAACTTGAAGGAAAAAAGAACATCACCTCAAATACATTTCGCAAAATCTAAACAACGAATGTCATCAGCGATGATTAAAAAAAAAGTCCCATTGCGACCCGACTCTTCTTTTTTTTTCGTTATAATCCTACTTAAAGAACGCATTTTTTTTTCGTTTCCATGTGCCAAGAAACTATCAGCACCTCGTGGCTTTCATGCCCTGAATGACCCAAAAATAGCCACATTTCGGAACACATCAATCAATACTATTTTTGTTGCTGCTCCGTTTTGCGTCCACATCAAATGACCAAAAATGCCAACCATGATTCTTTCTCACACTTCACTAGCCAAGCAGAACGTCATACAATCTTCACAACGCTCATCACTAATATGTAAAGCCGATATTTTCTCCACACATTTCACCAACACATATTGCACTGAAATACGGACAAAGTTCCGCATAAATTCGAGAATAAATTTTCAAGTCAACCCATGCAGATACGCATTTTTTTCTGGTGCCTTCGAAATTGCTTCCCTAAAATAAATCTACCAAAGTCACTGTAAAAATTATCTTTGCGATAATTTTCACGACGTAGGTGCACAAAAAAAATAAGCTCAACAGAGGATGACCACTTGAGAGAATAAAATCTCAGATTTTGAGAAGTACTGAGCTGTACTTTGATGGATAAAATTCCTTTTTTTTTCCACGAAAGGAAATTATCTGGACTGATGAAGCAGTCAACCGTGATATCAGGAACGCGGAAAGAAAGGTAATACAGTGCGTACCAAAAAAAATAAAGAGGGGCATTCATTAAGAACTCAAAAAAAAAACACTAAGAAACACACTGTGAAAGTCAGTACCGATTATATTAATGACTAAAAATAAACCCGATCATTGCGAAACGAGAAAGCTATTTTCACTGGCGTTAAAAGCGAGCTAAATTTGGGAATAAATGTCACTGGCCCTTATAAAATTAATATTTCTGTGAAAAAAGAAATTAGAAATTCCTAAATTTTAACGTTTTGGCATTCACAATTTTGCAGGTGTTATCTTGAAAATAAAACCCTCAAAGCAACTTTATCTATGCTTTTCGGTCGTGCGCTATTTTATTTTATCGCAAAAAATTTGTATACTTCCTAACTAGCGGTTTTTCTTATTGTGAAAACAGCAGAAATTTCTTTCATGAAAAACTAGCAAAATATGTCGAGAACTTTCGGAATTACGATCCATTCAATGAAAGATTACCCTTTCAATTGCCAGGAACGGACGCTATATACGTCAGAGAGAATTTCAAAGATATAACTTTTCAGTGATTTTGAACAGTAAAAAAAATTCCAGCGGAGCAATTCTCAATTCTTGAATAATGGCAGAATAGGTGTACAGTAGTTTCTTCATCGACAGGCAATTTGCGAAGACAAGCAATAGAAATTGTTTGATACAAGTATCAAATTTTTATTATTCATAATTTACTGCATCGACAAAAGACACTACAATGAAGTGATGATTTTTGACCTGCTTTGAGTGTTATTTTTTTTTTATTCATCAAGCTTCATCTCAGAAATTCTAAAATAAATTATGACCTACAGCTAGATATTAAAGTACGGCTATGTTTTATTGGGTTTTATACAATTTTCAATCACAATATCGAGCTCGTCAGGATGCACCAATAATTCAATCTTCAAATTCGAAACGCCACTAGATTCAAGACACTAAAAATCGACGCAGGCTGATTTTTCAAAGCCACTTCATTCACGAAAAACGCTTCTCGTTTTACATTTATTCCAGTTTCAATATAATTTCGTAAGAGAAGAGCAGTGTATTTTTTTCTCTTATTTTTAAACATGGTGATACTGTGCTTGTTGGGATCCAAAGAAACCCAATTCTAGCTAACCACGTTTTTTGAATGCCCCTTTCGGAAATTATATTTTTTAAAGCAACTTTTTTCACGAAAACAGTGCGTCTCTCCCGAGTTCACATATAAATTTTGAAAAAATGAGAGCTACGTTATTAAAAAAAAAAAAAACTGGTAATACTGGTAAGTGCTAATAATACTTGAAAAGACCCACATTTCAGGCTTCAGGCGAGGCAAGCGATGCTGTCATATTTCCTGAATGCCCCTTGTTTTGAAATTGAGAGCACAAGAAAAGAAAAACTTTAAAAAATGGCGTCGAAAGAAGACAGAAGAATACAAATGTTTTTGTTTTTTTCAAAATGATTCGGTGAGACCCACGGGCGGTTCTTCCCTCGGAACACTTTCCTGCTCCCAGGACTCCTTCTTAGTGACAGGCTTCTTGAAGCAGAGCACGTAGACAGCGAAACCCAGGAACAGGATTCCCAGCGAACCAAAGTAACCACCATACACCACAAACTATATTTAAGAAAACATCATCACCAGGGAGAAAAGAGAAAAACGACAATTACAAGAAATTGTTTTTAGAATGAATGAACAGAAAGCTTCATTTTCTGCTTTTCAGCACAATGTTCAGTCAAAATTCCCACATCCAAACCCTCTCCCCACCTGACCAAAATCCATTCAAACGCATTTGATCACTTCAGAATGAAGAAACTGAGAAATAAGCTGTGCATGGATACCACATTAAAAGAAAATATATTCCACAATGTACAACTGCACAACTGATGTGTATGTGTACACCTCCTTCTTTCCCTAACACTTGAAACAAAATATCAAAAACAAGAATTGCAGCATAAGCCAAAATCATAGCAATTGCAGCAATTACTGAACCCAATTTAAAGCACAAGGTCTTCAGCCTTTTCACAGATAAGGTTTAGTTGAATGAACAAGTTAGAGAGAATCTTTGACAAGAAATCATAAAAGGCCAACCGTGCATCTTGATCCTTTATGATTACAGAAAGGGTCTCTTCATTGAATTCCAATGCTTCTACATATTTCTTAAGCTCATTTCTATCAGTATGGAATGCTGGAATACCTTGGATAACTGGAATGGTGAAGTATTGAAGTAATGGTGTGTTGATTGTGTACATTATAGGACTAAGGTGTAAATAGCAAAATAAATCAGTAGGCTATAATCGCTGATTGAATTGAAACAAAAATTCTTCTTTTGATCAAAAATTGCATAATCAGTGTTCTCAGGTAAGGTTTAATTGCATGAGCAATTCAGAGAGGATCTTTGATGATAAATCATATAAGGTCAACAGTTTATCTTGATGGGCTCTGCTCCCAACCATTCAGAGAATGGGTTCCAGAACACGTTGGCAGTCCATTTCCTCAACAGTTCACCACCCAACGCCCCCATTATTTGCTGGGTTGATCCTCTTTGATTTCAGAAAGGGTCTCTTCATTGAATTTCAGAACTCCTAAATCTTTCTTAAGCTCATTTGTGTCAATATGGGATGCAGGGAATAATTTGTCTGAAGCTTCATTAGGAGAAAAGCCAACTTTTATTTTTCTTCAGATAATTTCAACTGCCACTGTCTTCCATAGAGGTCAGAAAAAGATAACAGACTTAATTGCTACTTTTGATATATTTATGATGCTCAAGAAAATTACCCAAGGAACCCACAAAAAAATTCCGCGGACCAAAAGTTGGGGAACACTGTTGGTATAGAATACGCACTTAAAACTTCGTGCGCCAATTTTTTGCATAAAAAAAGAGAGTCTCAAATTCAAGTAAATACGGTATAAAGCTGTATACCATAAATAAAAGAACACAAAATAAAGAAGACTCACTTGTTTCCTGGGTCCCAAGCCGAGTCCAAAGGGCTCAACCACGACCATGGTCAGAATTGTTTGAAGCAACAAAGCGCAGAACGTGTTCACTCCGAAAATGAGTCCGTAACTATCGGGTCGGATTTCCTTGGCTACTTGGTAACTGCCGAGAAGAAAAAGAAGAAGAAACACTCATTGCGTCATCCATTTGACTCACTCACTCTGGCCAATTCCACTGGAAACCCAGCAGCAACCCTCTTTTAACCGAATACACTTCCGGGCTTCGTCAATCAGCGGGAGAAAAACAAATGTGCTCAATATAAGAGGAAGACAAAATGCGATATTCTAAATCATGACGAGGCAAAAAACAAATCGAGTACCTCATAGCATTACGGGTTTCAGCGTTATTTGTCATATGAGCTCTGGTTATATTTAATTCAATACCCCATCAGGTTTCGGAAATAAATATTTTTTTCTCATAAAATTCGCAATACCTTGAAATGCGTTCAATTTTTGCAACAGTACACTTCAAAGTGAAACAAATTAGGGCTACGATTTTTGTTTGTTTCAATAATGCTGCTCATCAGTCTTGTGTCTTGTCTACTGAAAAAGTTATTCATGTTCATACAATTTCCTCGAGAAGGTTTTCATTGAATGAATCCCGACTTTATTCAACTCCACACGGCTCCGGAAATAATTTTCTGATTTATATGCGCAACAATCGTAACATTCTCCATTTTTGCAGAAGCATACTTCAAAGAATAATTTATCTTTTACTTTTAAAGTCTTGTGTCCGAGAGACTTGACGATTCAGTCATTCATTAGTATATAAATGCTGTGAGAAAGTGGTTATCGAGTGTGCTGAGATTGAATTCTATCCGGCATCGAAAATAATTTTCTGATTAATACGAAATCTCATAGTATTTTATTTTTTTTACAGCGATAAACATAGGATAATGGAAAAATTGGTGTTTATATTTCTAAACATATTTCAAATCATAGGATCCCAGACTCTTCGATGCTATCAATTATTTTGGTACGTGGATGTCACGAGAAGGTCTTTATCGGATGAGCTTGAATTTATTTGAACCCCATCCGGGCTGCAAAAGTAATTTCCAGATTCATGCGCTGAATTGAATGTTCTTTTCAAAATTGTGAAAGATTACGCGTCAAATGATGAAAAAAAGGCTGCGATATTCCAAACTCCTCAAAGTTTTTTATCATTCATCATACACAGATGTCGCAAAAAGGTTTTCGAAATTCAAGCTCCGATCCCTGGCACCGGAAATTATTTTCGAATCAATTATTTTCGGAAGTTAATCTAATTTGGGTGAGGTAAGTTCGGGTTTAATTAACATGGCCAGACAGACATCGATATAAATCTGACAAGATTATTTTTGGTCACGATATCCGTGCACGCGACACCTCATCAAGGATTAAGAAAGTAATTTAGCCGTCAAAATCGCACTAACAACAAAATACCGTATACACCGTTAATTTTCATTCGAAAACACCACTTTACGTTAAATCCACTCAGGTTTGAAAAGATTCATTCTAGTTAGACTAATGATTTATGCAACCAATACTTTCCAGGTCAGAAAAATGTTTACAGCCGTTCCAAGCATGGAGAGCCAAAACTAAATCTATTGAGAAAAAAAAAAACTGAGGATAATATTCTAATTCACTCCAAAACCGACCGTTCCCAGGTCTTGGGATCCTTTTTTGTTCCCAAGGAAAGAAAAGTGTGAGGGGAAATTTCTACTGCATATGCTGGAAACACAAATACTGTACTTTATAAATCCAGAAAAGCAGAAGCCAACCTGATTATGGTGATCATGGTTTGGTAAGACATGCGGAAGACGACGTAACTGACGTATGCAACCCAAATATCATCCGTGAGCGCCATAAGTACCAGAGTCGCGGCATCGATCAAAGAAATAATGCAGAGCACCAGGTCACCAACTAGATTCCAGTCGAAATCCACGTAAGCCACGCTGAATGCAGCAACAGCACCTATAGTAAAAAAAAAAAATCGATTTTTCTATGCAACATCACAATCTTTATTCGCACCAGCAAGAGACCTGTCAGAAATATATTCTTGACAAGAAAGGAACTGATAAAAAGATTCCCTTTGATTATAAATTTGAATGCTGATAAAGGTGAGCTTAAAGAAGTTTGCTTTCAGTCAAATATTTTAGAGAAAAAAATGGGAATAAAGAACAACTCAATCAGCCGGGCTGCGGCCGGGACTGAAAAGTCCTAGTTTAAGATGTTGTATTTCTTTCTTTTCAAGAAAAGTCAGAGAGATGAAACCAAAGAGTTGATTGTAAAAACAGGCAAACACAAATCGGACCCTTTTTTTGGAAAAATCCAATTTTTTTTTCTTTTTGCACAGAAAAATTTCGTGGGAAAATGAAAGAAATCCTATGCTAAGCAATGGGCTTTTTCATGGATTAATCCCAACTTTGCCTCAGCCCACCTGGAAGGTCTTTTCTGACCTTCAGAAAACATAAAACACCACAGCATACGATTTATTAGGTTAAAGTCGGCTTAAAAAAAAGTAAACGACACTATAAAAAATATAAACCCCTAAAACGTAAAAACCCCTAAAATCATTTACCCCTAAAAATAAAGCCCCGTTAATCTGTGGTCCCCCTATAAACGTCGGGGATTTCAAAAATCGGGGATTTTAGGATCGGGGATTTATAGAGCAGGGGGAATAGAGGCGGGGGAATTAGAATCGGGGGAATTGTCCGTTTCCCGGAAAATCCGCCTATTTTATTCAACTTTTTAGCATCAAAAAATATATTATTCATGCCAAAAAGAGAACCTCAAATGAGAACCAGTTTGCTTTTGGGGCCTAAAAGTGATGCATGTTGGAAAAAAAAATTTCCACTCCATGGAGAAAAAATCCTCCCAATTTGTCTATTACACCAACAACTTTTCTTCAGCATGGGTAGATGTCGCTGAAACATGAATTTCACACTGCCTTATCCTTCTGACGAACTTCTAGTGATAATTTCTGTGTCAACAACAAATGTGCTTCGCAGTGAGACATTTTTATTCAATTACTGTATTACCTTGTCTAATAAAATGACACGTCTTTTATATTTGGAAAGATGTCACTGGTAGTCGCAATATGGCCTTTACAGCACAGTTTTTTTCTTTTTAAATTTTTGAATCCTGTAATTATTTTGGAATTCTCCGGCATCAATAAAAATTTCGGAAAAGCTTTCGATGTACATCTTCGCGCAACTCTTCGGCAATTTCAGGAAAAGAGAAAGTTGAATTTTCCACTGTGAGCTGATTTTTTTTTTATACATGGAAGTTTCCTGAAGCAGAAATCGTTAAAAAAAGTACATAAAACTTCCTTCAAAAAGCTATAAACTTGAAGGAGGACCAAAGATGCCGGCGACGAGAAAATAATGCGCATATACAGAACTGAACGAACCAAGGTTGAATTACTGGAATCCAAGGCTGTATTTACGGCTAGTAAGATAATAAATGACGAAATAAGATTCACACGCGTCGTCCATTTAATTAAAGTGATGATTCAAAAATATATGTATGATGTATACAGTAAATATTTACTAAAAATAAAACAAAAATCCCACCGAGAAGAGTTGTAACAGCCTCGACACCACCGTTGTAAATCTCGTTGTCAGCGACAGGGGCAATTTCTTCCCATAGGGGCTGGATATAATTCCCGACTTGGAAATTTCCGCAAGTCCCAAACGCCCACCAAATGGACCATTTGAGGATGTCCGACTTGGAAAAGGCGAACTTGGCGTCCGCCCACAAAAGCCCGAAGGCGGCTTTCGACTTGGACGTGAAATCTTGTTTCGGAACATCCACATTGACTGCAAAAAGAAAAACAAGAAAAGTATATTTCAAAGCATCAACGAAAATGAATTTCCGCTTCAGACCGCGTTGAAACAAAGGTTAACGCGGCGTAAAAAGAACGAACAGATGATTCCAAATGCGTTTCATGTCACTTTTCCAAATCACAGGGCAAAAATTTCAGGGAAAAAGAATGGTTCAACTAGATTTTCTCAATTGGTTCAACAGTCAAAATCAAGTCCGTCCTTTTGTGATTATTCTTAATTATAACTCATTGCAAGCTGAAGTGCAATATTTCGACAGAAACGGCAAATTCTCCCACATACCTCCGCAAGTGAAAACACTTTTCATTGTCCAATACAACCCAGAATTATCATAATTATGTGAAAGTTTGCTTCATTCGAGAAAAGCTGGTTAGCGAAATTCTGCAACATCCAAGACGCTTATGGAAATGGGATTCAGGAAAAAAAATTCTAAAATTAAAATTCAGCATCAGTATGAAAAATACACGCAAGACGGTCCGAACTTTCATTGGCAACCCTCCTGTAAAAGCCTTAAAAACAATAGTGTCTTAAAATACTGTAAGTCAGTAATATTATAGAGTACTGTATGCATATAATAATGTCAATACTGAGGTTGAACAAGCCCAATATTAGGGTAGTCATCAAATTGATCATAAGCAGATAATAAAATGAACCACAAAAACACAATTTCCACTTGCTTGAAGAAAAAATCACACCCACCAGAACAGACCTCATAAGAAAAGCAGCAAATACAGAACCGAAAAATAATAATACGAATTATACACGCCTCACATATTATTGTAACTCAAAAACTTCCGATTTTCCAATGCAGAGCATAATTATGCAAACGTATTCTTGATCAGAGAAAAGCCTGGTCGTGAAGAAATTATATAAAGCATCCAACAAAATTACGAAACTGGGATTTACGACCAAAATTTCTCAAATTAAAATTCGACACCTGGATGACCAAAAAATGTTTTTTATTTTTTGTAAATCCGTGACTTTTCGAGAGTAATGGTCTTTGTTAGGGCCGAAGTAGTCGTCAGTGAGGAAGTCGGGCAACCATTAGTAGGGCCACCTTTATTTGCGAGCAAAAGCGTGTCGGCAGGGAAATGGAGAGCAAAAGGCACAGCGTCACGCTGCCCAGGGAAATGTAATTCAGCGAGCCGTAGTCCAGCCAACCCGTGGACGTGAACAATTGTGCCAAAGCTCCAGACCCGAATCTGCCAGTCAAAATGGCAGCCCTCGTGTAGCTCGTCACGGATTTGTACGCGTCTTGCGGCCGAAAACGCATCTACATGCACATCATCCGCTGAAGGCAGCTGCAGCGCTAAGGCATCCACTTAAGGTAGTGGACGTCATTACCCTTTATGTAATGTTACTCTGAGGGTCAACGCCTGTACTAGCCACTATCAAGAGTGTCCTCAAGTTGAAATGTACGTAAGTCAAGTCTCATTTTTCCGTTAGACTTACATTTTATAATTTTTAATGGGTGTTTTATAGACAAAATACTCACCATAATTCCATGAAAATAATAATTGTCTCCCAATTTCAACTGATTCAATCAATATATTTCAACGCAATATGGGCAGTTGGGGAATTGAATACTGATACCTCTGTACAGTACATAGAAATATTGGCATTCTCTGTAAACATAACATTCAAGTGAAAAATAGACAAGGAAGTCTCTGGATGCTGGAGGTAATTTTTTAAATTAGCTAAATGGATGGTAAATTGGCGGGAGAAATGCCCAAAAACTTTTCTTACATCAATTTTATGGTTGGAAATATCTGTTTCTTGTAGTTTGGCCTGAAACTTATTTGCAAGTTTGTCACAAAATATCCCTATGTTGAGTCATGCAGGAATAAATTATTCTTTCAAAAGAGATTCCAGTATGCAACGGGTTTGTCTGATGTCCTGGTAGAAACACTGTGAGGTACAATATAATATTTTTCGAGCAACAAATACATTTTTTGATGATTTATCCATCAGTTTTCAAACTACTGTATATGTTCCTGAAGTACCGTATCCAAGTTTTGAAATTTTCTGAAAGCTGAGCAATGCAAAAATGTTCCGAAAAGCCACGGCATTCATGAACTGTAATTTGAAAAGTTTCCAGGAATGAAGGGGAAACAAGTTTATCCACAACTGCATCATCGTGGAAAAATATAAAAAGCCGAATTTATGCACACAAAAAATTTCAAATTGTATATCCTTTTAAATTTTGCATAATTTGATATCCATAATATCAGGATTGCTATACACGAGGCAAATGCAAAAAGCTACTTATGAAAATTTCCCAAGCAGTGAAAATGGACTAAAATCATGATTTCTAAAAAAAAAAGTGAGCATTGTAAAGCGGAATTTTGGCTGTAGAAATCTAATTTCATAAACACTAGGAGTACTTGATACATGATTCCGTTTTTAATTCCCACTGAATTTCATGCATATCATAACCATTTCTTCAGTTTCGACTGAAAAGTTGCAACATCATACGGTTAGTTGGATATATTTGTTTTCCATCAATTTTTTCACAAATCAGACAGAAGTATTGTGGAAAAACATATCCTTTCCAAGAAAAATTATATCCATCCAGTCGACTTAAAGAAATCTTGAACTCAATTGCACACATTGTAGGGGATGAAGACGTCCGGTGAATTGAATACAATTCCAATTCAAAATTCATTTGATTAATCTTCCATTTTAACCAGTTCAGAATTTGTTTTCTGAATTCAGACCAACATTTTCTTGGCGATTCTCGTGTAGATGCGCCAAAAAAAAAAGATAGCTGATATTTAAGCAGTTCCTATTTAATTACTATAGTTATAATTCCAACGTTTTCGTAAACTTATTAAAAGCTGCTTTTGGGGTTAGTTTATGTTTTCATACGATAAAGTCAACAAACTTCTTAACATATCTTGACACTCGCCAGAACAGACGGAATACCTGTACCAGAATTTTCAAATACAGTCGAAAAAAATTGAATTCGCAATGTTTCCTTTTTTCGCCCGCGAATGGAGCGATATTGAACCTTAAGTTTGCACGTTCGTATTTTTCCCAAAATTTATCTCGCACCCTGTACTAGTGATAATAAAAAAATAAGCCTCAATAACAACACTTATTTCCAAAAACACTGCGTCCACTGAGTTAAAAAGGTGTAATTTGGACGGGCGAAGGCTTTTAATCCGAGGTAAGAAAACTTACACAATTTCATTCGCACAAAAACATATCCCAATAAGTGAAGAAAAGAAATGAAAACCAACCAAAACAAAAATGAAAGACGCAATACCTATAACAGAATTTGCAAATACAGTCGAAAAAAATTGAATTTGCAATGTTCCCTTTTTTTCTCCCGCGAATGGAGCGATATGGAACCTGAAGTTTTCTTATTCGTATTTTCCTCAAAATTAAAGAGTGAGGGATATGATCATTATTATTTTTTTTTATTCTGAGTTATTGTTGTGAATAAAGGTTTTTGTGACGCAGGTGACTCAATTTTTCCACATTTAACACTGCCCGCTTCCGAAAATTAGGCTCCATTAAAAACTTGCACAATTTCATTCCCACACAAAAACATATCCC